CCAGTGTAACTCTTCTCCCTTTCCTCCCTCCTTCCCTTTGCTGGGTGGGCTCCCTGGGTGCTAGGGGGATGTGCACACCTCATGGTGGAAGGGCTGAGGCGCAGAGCGGGTACCAGGCTGAAGGCAGGAGCTGGTCCACAGGTTCAGGCAGGCAATTACTGGGTTTTAACCAGCGTCGGCCTCTTAGACATGTGCTCCCGCACAGAGACGCGCGCACGAGTGGGGATGGAGGGGAGGGAGAGGTGAGTGATGAAGTCTAGAGTTTATACATTTTGTATTTTGGGGGGTTCTGTGGCATTTCCTCTCTATTACTATTTTCTGGGGAATATCACACAGAAGACACAGGATCACATTGCTGAAAAACATTCTCTATATACGAGCTGCAGCCGGAAGCGAGTTCTGAACGTTTCCCCCTCTCTTGTCACTCTGGGGAAGCATTTTCCCATTCCAAAAGGATGAGTCCCTGGCTTTTATTTAGTTAAAAAAACCCCCAACAAACCAACCAAAAAAACCCCCCAAGCCCTAAACACAAGTCTACATTTTCTAATAGGTAGAAACATACAATTAAAAACAATAAAGGACTTGAGTTCCAAGAGTGCATTTGCGGATTTGTTCATTTTAGTCCCAGTCACGCCCATGAATAGTATTAATTGCTTTGAGCTTTTTATGCAAAACAATCCTCAACCACCACAATAAAATCTGGTTTCGGATTTAGGGGAATGGGAAATTAAAATGTGCTGAGTTCCTGTATGGATGGATAGATATTTTAAAATAAGATGCAGTTAGGGGGAACTTGCTTCCCCTCTTTCTTCTCCTTTGGAGAGCTAACCCAGCAACCCTTACTTCTACTTCTTTATAAAGAAAAAAACAATCCGTCATATATTCAGAAATTCTTCAAAACTGGAAATGGATTTAAAGCAAGTTTTTTTACTTCGATTCTGTGTAGGAGAGGAGGATGAAGGGAAAAGGTGAATAAAAAATCCTCAATGAAGCCATGTAAGCTTCGTAGGTCCCTTTGTCCT